TTTACTTTTTGCAATTTTAACACTGTGTTTTTTTTTTTTTCAATTAGAGAAAAAAGACTTTATTTTTCAAATTTGACAATATTAATAAAATGTGTAATTTAGCCTTTACTAAAAAGTTTAAACATTAAAATATTACCTAATATAAGGATTTGAATGATTGTTTTTTCATCCTTTTAACCTTATCCGATGAAAAGGAATTCAAAATCTTCCACCACAAAAATCAAAGCTTTTTCCCTTTAAGCCTTTGGTTTGCAATACAAATGTAAATAAATATATGCAAAAGCTTAAACAAAAAAGAAATGATAGTATACAAAGAAGATCATTCCAGATTTCTTTTCAAACAATAAAGTTTACCGTAAAAGCAATGTAGGTATTGAAAACAAGATCATCTAAATCCAAACTAAGGTTGTCTCTGGTTTACACTACTTTTTGGATGCTTTGGAAAGAAAAGAATACAATATTTTTTGAAACAAAAGACTATCTATTATGTTTTTTTGCGGATGACATTATTACCTGCAACTTTAATAGAATTGCTCATAAATCTAAGTTAAAAATGCGTAATTGGCATAATTGGTGTATGTTTCCCATTTCAAATGTTTTTTGATAGGTTTGCTTGAGCAATTCACTTAAGCTTTTTTCTATTTTCTTCTAATATAATTTGCTCACTGTTCACCTGGGTTGTGGTGACTTGGTAAGACATGTAGAAGATATGGTGGATAACCTATTGATTAATGTTCAAATCCTGACATTACTAAGCTCATGTGGCCATGGAGGTTCGTCTGTAATGACTCCAAGGCATGATGCATAGTCTCATGTTCGCAGCAAGATATTAGTTGGTATACGAAAACTGACCCGAAAACCATCGTTAGAAAAGTTTCTCTCCAAGGAAATAAAAAAAACAACAACATTGTAACAAAGCAAATGAATTTTTATTTGATTTATAAAAGTGGGTCCATCATTCACTGTTCAATGGCCAACTCCTCTCTTATTCGGCCCACCCACAAATGCATTCAAGCCCACACGTCACCCCGTTCAATCCCCTAGATGGCGTTAAGTGATTTGAACAGTTTAAGTGACAAAATAGTCAAGTAATCAATCTCTATAGTATTTCATCATTAACATCATTTACCAAATACAATCTGCTCACACTCGTAATCAATTCTTTCCAGCAGCTGTGTTTGCACCACCAAAATAGAAAACTGAAACTCCGACGAAGCTAACAAGTCTCCAATCCGCCCCAGTTCAGGGCACTGCGGTCTCTCCGATAGCCCGTGCGTTAACTTAGAACCAGAAAGAGAATGTGCTCGACCAACTATAAACAAATCACAACCCTCTTCCATTGCTCTCAGCAAATGCACTGTTTGTATTCCATCGTTTACCACCTCCTGTTGAATAAAGATATCTCGTCCTTTACACTCCATACGAAATCGATCTATCATCTCATTATCCAGTCTCTTCTCGTGTAACATATCTGGTGTCTGGTCTACGTCAGCATTCGCCGGCCGGAGCACAACCACCAATAAACTGACATACGGGTGTTGCGCCATTCGACAGCTGAATGCAAGTGCTTCTCTATCGTCTTCACCACCAAGGAACAGTTGGGTTATATGGAAGACTTCTGTTCGTCTGGTTAACACAGATTTAGGTCCTCCAATCTGGCCTCTATCCACAAGTATGCCGATCGAACAAGGTGTTTTCTCCATGAGTTTTAGGTTGACTGATCTAATCCCAGGAAAGGTAGCATCAATAGTTCCATCAATACCCCAACATTTGTGAAATGGGACGATAATAATGTTAGCGCACTTGTTAATGGAGATAGTGAAGATATCTTCATGCATGGTACGATATGGTGCCATTGAGACAAAGTGTTCGACTACAACAGAGTTGCGGTTACGTTGCCTGAAGTAATTGAACGCATTTCCAACTTGAAAGACTCGAGTTTGGGCTGATGGGATCTTTTTGACTTCGGAGCTGGGGACTAAAATGGCGGAAGCTCGACCTTCGAGTTGTAGTAGATTCATTGTGATAACTTCTATAGGTTGATGTCTTGAAGGATTAGATGCCTGTAAAAGGTTTATGATCGATGGAACATTGTCTTCATTGTGAATGCAAACCACCATTCGAAGATAATCATCTGGTTCGCTGTCCAAGATGCTGGTTCTTTTGTAGCTTTGGTATCTTGCCGATGGATCATAAAAATGCCATAGAAGAAACCTCGTACTTCCTGTCACCAGTAGCATGTTGAGTATAAGAAGAGAGTATCCTTGTTCTGTTACCACCTGCATATGCCAATCAAAGCATATATATCGAGTAAATCATACATAACAACAGAAATAGAGCTATGTAGTGTTAAAATCATGATCATTGGGAATATATACATACCCGATTAGATCGTATAAGCGAGAAGGCAGCTACATCAATGATGCCTTTGGTACACATGATCATAGCGAAATGAAAAGCATCCTGTGATGACACGTTGAAATACATGGCTAAAAGAAAGTTGCTCATGAACTTGACCAAGTAAGCTATGGTGATAACAACCTCAGTGATCGCAGAAGCTAACGCATTATCACCTCCAAGAGACCTTAGATTAACCTTAAACGCACAGATTGCAAACTTGGCTGGAACTAAAATGGAAGTCGCCATCCAGTCAACTCGATTCACCATAGCCGAACCAAACGGAGGTCCATCAGGCACACATATACCCATCGTGAATCCACCAAATGAAGCATTTTGTCCCAAACACTCTGATAGAAACCCACATAGCAAAACTGCCACAAGCACCATAACAAATTGACTCTCTTTTATCTGCTGACCTTCAGGAATTCTCTTGGCCATCCACAATATAAATGGCCGGACTATAAAACAAATGGTGAACAAAAAACAAATGATATAGAAGATATTGGTCAACGCCTTCCATTCTGATCTTTCTAAAGCTACACCAATCGTAGTCAAAGCTAAAGTTGTGATATAGCTGCAGGAATCGGTAACTAAAGCTGTGCTACAAGATAATCGACCAAGATCGGAATTTAACAAGTTTAAATCAGAGAGAGTGGAGGTGACAGCCGGGAATGTTGTCATGGAGGTTAAAGCAGCGACGAATGGAAGAGTATGGAGGCTTAATTCGTCAAGTTCGATCAGATTAGGCAATGGCACAATGCACAATATGCAAACTGCATAGGGAAGGAAAAAGGACATGCAACCAATGAGCACCATGTGCCCATGCACACTCTTCAAGATATTCGTGTCAATCTGAACCCCGACGACAAAAACATGCAGCATGAACCCAAAGCTGGCGACGGTGTCAAGAACCAACTTGCCGGATTCCGGGAACAGTTTGTTGAGGAGGTGATTGTCGAGTCTTACGAACCAGATGAAAACAATACAACCCTAGAAGGAACAGACGAATCAAGGCATGATCAAAAAGAGATTTCAGAAACGAAAGCATGGATGCATGTATATAAATTCTTACGATAAGTTGACAAGAGAGAATACTTTGTCGTAGGGGTTTAAGCAGGAAGAAGGTGGTATGCGAGACGATGAATATCATACTGAGCTGAAGCATCAAAAGGGGTAAACTGAAGGTAGAAACATCACATCCGAACCAAGAACATCCCATCGAACTGGTCATATGTAGGTACTGGCAAATCATTTGTTCGGGCTCGTTAACTCCGGGGACATATCCCTCTGATGATACGATGGCCGGTAGACGAGACATTGTTTCATGTGAAATCAAACAAATTTGACAGAAAAACGATGGTTCTGGGGAAGAATGTCAGAGACATAGGGAATGGAAAGGCCAGAGAGGAGGAACAAGATTGTTGATCAACGATTCTATTGCCTAAAATCACGGGTGTCCATTTTCTTACAAGTTTTGTTTTTGATATATTCAATCAATTTGAGCTATATTTTTGGCTGGATTTTCAGACCCAACTTTTTGCGTTCGGCCTCAATCACGCCACTCGTCAGAATAAGCAGGCAAGGTCTCAACCTCTCTATCATTTTGTATTTAAATTATACAAGGTTGAACGTAGGTTGTTCACAGAATTGTGGGTATCAATAAAATTATAAAGATGCGGAGGAGTGGAGATCTATATTGTAATACCGATATATAAGAAAAAAGGCGATGCAAAATGATGTGACAATTATAGAGGAGTTAAACTTTTACTCATTGAAGATCGAGAGAAAAGGAAGTGAAGAGGGCACTGGAATCCCTATTCTTGTATGGTTGTACCTAGAAGAGGGAATTCATTGGTTGACGAACCTCTTTAACATCATTTTTTAAGTCGACAAAGATGTTAGACGAGTGGAGATATATATACCCATATTAAATGACTAAATATCGTATTTATCCGACTCAAACTTTAAATATCATATTTATCCTTATTAATGTTTTAAAATATCAAATATACCCAAATCAATTTTTTTAATAGTTTTTAATTTTTACTAATCTTTTTTTTATAATTTTAAATTATAAAAACTAAAAAAAACAAGTGAATGGACCATAATAGCCCTTCCTTTATAAAGGTGTCGGTAACCACTGTTGCTCCTAAACCGCTGCTTGTGGGTCTTACACTTATTCCTTGGAGCTGTTGCTAAAGGCGCCGATAATCCTTTCTATCCATTTTAAAGTTTTCTTTTTGTTTATTATTAATGGGTTTTTGCTAGATTTAGATTTTGATTTGTGTGGGTTTTTTTGTGTCCAAGTTGTTTATAATGAGAATCCTCAAGATTTTGATGAACCCATGTGAGACCAAGTATTAGATTTGCCGATTTGATTAAATTTGATGTTTTCTTGTTTTGTGGATTTGGATGTTTGGGTTTATGTTTTCTTGGTTGTATTCAAGAATACCCGTCACTTCGCCGCTCTTTATGCTGCTATTATTAGAGTAAATTATATTATTAAGTTTCGTTTTTTGATATGTAGTGTTTTTTTGTATTCAGCAACAAATTGGCAAGAAGGCGGAAAAAAAAGTCGCAGGGGTATGTCGATCATCTGGTTGCAGAATAAGGTATTCTTGTGATTTAGAAGGCAAGGGTGTTATCGTCCGATTAGTGATTTTTATTATTTTTAATGATTTTAAAATATAAAAAAGATTATTAAATAATAAAAATTGTTTAAAAAAATGGATTTGGGCATATCCGATATTTTAAAACATCAAGAATGTCAAATATGATATTTAAAGTTTAAGCCGTATAAATACGATATTTAGTCGTTTAATAAAGATATATCCGAAATTCTTCCTAAGAACAAAGACGATTTACAATGTTGTGACGGTTATAGAGAATTAAACTTCTTAGTCATACCATGAAACTATGTGAGACACTCCGCCTACTACGATGTCTTATGGATAAAACTTAGAAAAGACATGTGCCAGTGTCCCGCATGAAACGATATAGGAGAACTTTGAAGCTAGAAGAGTCTCGAAGAGTCATGTCAAGGCTATTCATAATATATACTCCAGGTCTACAACTTGTGTTCGAACTATATTAGTGACACCAATGATTTCACATTAAAAACATGCTTCATCAAGGACCAACTCTTAGTCCGTACATCTTTTCTTTGATTATGGATGATTTTTTTTGCAATACTGTAACACCTGGATCTCAAGGTATTTCAATTTTTCAATTTCTTTTAAGCATTTTAAGGTTGCCATGGCATACGGGAAGACAAGTTGGTATCACAGCCCTGGTTAGAGACAATTGGATGAACATTCGTGTGAAACCAGACTCAAACTAAGCATCGGTAAAAGTTTTTTTTTTTTTTTTTTTTTTTTTTTTAATTGTTTCAAAAATAACCAAGGAATGATGAGATGTGTACGATCAGCCGGAGCAGGAAAGTATACCTGTAACAGCCCGATTTCCAGGAATGAGATTTTAGGGATTTTATGCACTTAAGAAAGCCTACTCGACGAGTTGGGAGTCCCCAACTCGTCGTGTAGAAACTCATATGGCCACGTGGATTATGAAGCCTACTCGACGAGTTGGAGGACCCAACTCGACGAGTTGAGGTTGTGCATGAAAACCCTAATTTTTAGGGTTTGCACCCCATTTAAAGGACCTTAAGTCCTCTCTCCAGCCTCCCTTACCACCCTATCGTCCAGAAGAAAACCCTAAACGAGCTAACCTTCCATTTTAAGTGTGTACAAGGCTAAAGAGTGTGTGTTTGGTGCATTCCTTGGATAAACTTGAAGGTTAGGAGCTTGAAACGAGAAGGAGCTTATAGATCCGACATCTACTCAGTTGTAGCAACCTTATCAAGGTAAAAAGCCACTACCTTGATCACTTGTTTGTTAGATCTCTCCATTAGAGAGTTTATGGTCATTTCTAGCTTCTCTTGAGTCATTCTTGGTTTTGAGCATGCTTTGAAACTAAGACTTCGGATCTGGACAGCACTAGGCCCCTTAGGCCTAAATTGGCCAACTTTCATGCCTTAAACCCCTTTATTAAGCCTTTTTTTTAGCAAGTTAGCCCCTTAATGCCATGCATGGACGTAAAGCTTGCAGCTTTACGTAGATCTCAACCCTAGAAGACTAGATCTACAGTTTGGAGCATTCGTTTCGTATAAAAGCGTCTGAATGAGAAAAAGGGCTGAGGGAACTCGACGAGTTTCTTAGCCGACTCGACGAGTTCGTTAGGGTTTTCCCGCTTCTGGATTCTGAGTGAACTCGATGAGTTGGTAAGATAACTCGACGAGTGGTTAGGGTTTTCCTTGATCTTCAGGACACTGCATGGACTCGACGAGTTGTTTTGGCAACTCGGCGAGTTGACTCGAGTTTTCACAAGTTCTCCGAGTTCCGAAGGAACTCGACGAGTCAGTAGCTGCACTCGACGAGTTAGGTCAACATGGACTGTTGACCTTGACTGTTGACTGTTGACTTTGACCAAGTTTGACCTCTGAGGGTATTTTTGTAATTTGGGTCTTGATAGAATTGGTCTTATGGTGGTTGTAGGTGTTGGAGTTTGGAGCTGTGTTTTGGGAGATTGACATTATCATCCAGTGCTACTTGCGAGGTGAGTTCTTTTCACTATACCAACAGGGTCTAAGGCACCAAGGCCGACCCTTTTTAGATTGTATCCTGGTTATAGGATGATGCTATGTTTAGTGATTTGTTAGATCAGTATCCTGGTTATAGGATGATGCTATGTTTAGTGATCTGTTAGATCAGTATCCTGGGTATAGGATGATGCTATGTTTAGTGATCTGTTAGATCAGTATCCTGGTATATAGGATGATGCTATGATTAGTGATCTATTAGATCTATATGACTACATGTACATGCTAGCTAGCGTATGATATTTATGTGTTGATTGTGTGATATACGTACTACTGAAAGCACAGGATCCATACTCGAATCAAGGAAGATCTCGGGGATTCTAAGGGCTAGTAAGGGAAGGTAGCATGGTTGGATACCATGGTTCGCGGCAATGGTTCTGTTCTTGCCAATCTTTTGGTTGTGGCTGCTCAGACCTGAGGATGGTCCTGGTATTTGGAGTGAGCCCAGTGGTGTTATCGATTTTGGTTGTTTGGTGCATACATATTGCGTTTTGGTGCATGCTTCGAGGGTTTTGCTCGAAGCCAGGACGCGAGTCGCGGGACTCAGGGAGGGAGTGATGATTATGGTCAGCTTGAGTTTTGCAACTGGAAGTAGAATGACTGATTGATGGATTAGAATGTCGTTATCTTTTGGAAAAGGTTGTGTTCTATCAGTTTTCTGAGTTCGAAGGAGTAGGCAGGCTTGTGACCCCCAGGGTCAGGTTGTATTTCCAGCTCAGTGTTAGTTGGTCGCAGGGATTGGCGGCAGTATTTCAGCGCTGGTAAGTGTAGGTGGGTCGAGGTGGCATGAGTATCTTGCGAGGAAAGTTAGGTACCATGTCCTCGGGTAGGCCGGGTGCCGGATTGTCATTTGGATTGAAAACATGGATTAGTTCATGTCACCTGGGATCGAAGGGGAGTTTTCCTGCATGCCCTCAGGTTGGTCAGGGTAACTCAGGAGGAAGAAGTCAGGATTTCTTCAAATGCCTTTGAGAGAATGGTAGGGTTACAACATAGTGGAGTGCGTTCAGTGTTGTGTGGGATGGTGATTAGGTCTCCATGAGACAGTGAAAGGAGGAGAGTATCTTTAGGACCCATAAGGTTGGGCAAGCAATGTAATGCCGACAAGGGTCGTTATGAGATAAGGAGCATTCCAGTCATGGATTGTGGGCCTAATGGTCGGGATTATTCGTTCAATCTATTTGTGATACTCTCGGTAGTGACACGTTGATGGGGATCGGAGAAACCATAAATCAGTTGGTTTGAATAAGGAACGGTCAAGGGCCGTTGGGAGTGCCAGTCAGGTATCAGAATGAATATGTGGAATGTTGCTCCGTATTTGTTTGTTCGCAAGTTGTTGTTAGGGATCAGATGGAATGCGGAAGATCTTGGTTTGATCATCTTCTTTCGTCGGTTCAAAGGTTAGTGATGGCATGACAGGGAGTCAAAGGTTATACTAAGGTTTAGGCGTATCACATGGACTCGGAAGGAGAGAGGTTCGCTATCGACCTCTTAAGGATCCTTTCTGCATGATTTGTGGTATCTTCAGCCAGAAACTCGGAGTGGATTCATGGATGGCCATTTCGGGATGGATAATAGTGGGAACTTGCGTTGGGAATCGCAAGTGTATCCGTGTGAGGCATGCATTCTGGAAGTCGGTGCGGGAAGTGGGAAATCTTTTG